AGATAAATCTAAAGAACAATGACAGAAAAGCAGGTGTATGTTGCTGGGGTCCAACCCCAGCAGGTCCAGGGGTCCCCAAAGGTGTGGACGGAGTCGGCGAAGAAGGAATGACATGGAGGCAGCATTCAGTTCATCAGCATAGTTGGGTTCTCTTGCCTGGTTCTATCCAGGATCTCCAGCAGGTTTCTGTATTTTATTGTCTTGTTACATCTGTATTTATACCAGTTTATTTTAATCCTATCAATCTCTATTCCAAAGGTTAGGGTGTTTCTTATCTCCATTCCAGGGAGTAAAGATTATGTAGCTTAAGCATGATTGTTTGTAGTTAAAGTGATTAATTACCCGCCTGGCACTTAGTTAAGGGGTTTTATTCCCTCCCTAACTTCAGGGGAAAATCCCTACCTGGGGAAACAACCTTTCTCAGAGAGGTGACCTTGGTTATAACACATAGTGCCAAGAAGGTGAGCAAACATATTAAGAACAGTATTCCATATATGCCAGGCCCCTTGAAACAGCAAGGATGGACCGGCTCCCGGCAGTATGTCAACCATTAATTTTGAATATTTAACCATTAATTTGAAATATGTTAAGTTTGAAATGCCACATTGTGTATGCATGGAAATATACACAGGCTTACCTGGTGGGATGCAATATTAAGCACGTTTCGTGTTTGCAGGTAAATAGAACATAGAAAGAGAGAGATAAGGAGTTTGAGAGTGAATATACAGGTATGCTTTGTAAAAAGGAAAATAAGGACCTGCCTAGGTTAAGGGACAGAAGAGAGCAAGTGCAGTCAAATAATTAGAAGTGCTGTTGTTTATAGAAACACCTTATATAATTCTGTGGATAGAGTATATGAGTGAGTGAGCTTGAAATGCATGAAGTGTTGATTAGAGAGTGAAAACATATAAAGCAAGAGGTTGGGAATGTGAAATTAGAGGTTTTGATAAATTATAAGATATCACCATGAGAAATGGACCAAGAACAGGAGGAGGAGGAAAAACTAATTGTAAAATAATTGTCAAATAATTTACACAATCACGATGGGTGAATTTCCAAAATTGATATAGAAGTCATTAGGAAGATGACAATAATGGCAGAGAAAAGGACAGATGCTAAAACCTTTAGTGGAGTGGGGGGGCAGGAATTGAGAAAAGAGGAGATACTTTGAAAAGGAGCATTGGAAGGAAGAAACAGAGTTAGAGAGAGAATGACATAGCTGATGTCATTTGCTAAAAATGAATAGACTTCCCCTTCAAGAACAGGAGGCAGAAGAAAAATGGTCAGGATATGGTAACAAGGGCAAAACTTTCTCACCAGTTGTACACAGGTTATGGAGAGAAAGGAAGGTATACAAAAGAAATTGTGGTATTAGAGAATTGGCTGCTGACAAAATGATCCTGAAGGCACAGTGGAAGAGTACTGGATATTAAGAAATGTTAGAAATTTTACAGAGAATTTGATCAGCTATGCCCTAGAAACTTAGAGAATGCATGATATTAATTCAACCTTTATGTATGTAGGTCTGTGCTAACTCTGTCATGTTTTATTATTTACTAGAGGTCCGGTGCACGAAATTTATGCACTGGGTGGGGGAGTGTCCCTCAGCCCAGCCTGTGGCCTCTCGCAGTCCGGGAATCCTGGCTCCTTACCACCCACCTGCTCACTGTTCCTTACTTGGCTCACCACTTCTTAGCGCTGCCATAGAGGCAGGAGAAGCTCCTGCCACCTCCACTGCACTTGACAGCTGTGAGCCTGTGCCACCCACGCTCACTGTTCCTGAGCACTGTGGCAGGGGTGGGAGAGGCTCCCGCCACCACCTCTGTGCTTGCCAGCCATGAGCCGGGCTTTTGGCTGAGTGGCGCCCCGCCCCCTGTGGGAGAGCACTGACCACCAGGGGGCAGCACCTGTATTGAGTGTCTGACACCTGGTGGTTAGTGCATATCACAGTGACCAGTCATTCTGCCATTCGGTCCATTTGCACTTTAGGCTTTTATTATATAAGACTACTTAAAAGAAAATTAATAGGTTCAGGACTAATGGGAGAAAAGTTGTACTAATGTGAGCAAATGTTCTCAAAATGAAGCCCTTAGGGGACCAGATCTGAAAAAGACTTCTGTCACCTGTAATAGTCCCAGAAAAATATAAAATGATATGAATAGCAGAAAATAGTCTTGATGAGGAAATATATTTCCAATAGTATGTATTTTACAACCAAAATATGAAATTATAAAACTATATTTAAAATTTAACAACATTTTGGTTTGTTAAATTTTAGAATAATTTATTCAAAAGTGAAAGTTACCCTTATAAATAGGGCTTTGAATTGCAAGGAAAAAAAAATATAGCCGCCGAAACCGGTTTGGCTCAGTGGATAGAGCGTCGGCCTGCGGACTGAAGGGCCCCGGGTTCGATTCCGGTCAAGGGCATGTACCTGGGTTGCGGGCACATCCCCAGTGGGAGATGTGCAGGAGGCGGCTGATCGATGTCTCTCTCTCATCGATGTTTCTAGCTCTCTATCTCTCTCCCTTCCTCTCTGTAAAAAATCAATAAAATATATTAAAAAAAATATATAGCCGCTCAGCTTTTGAGATAAGTAACTCAAAGAAATCGAGGTGTCCTGTTAGTTGAAAATTATTGAGTAACCAAGTACACACCTTTCATTAATTAACAAATTCTTCACTTAAATGTGTGACTCCTATTTTTAAAAGCATTTTTTTCAAAGTTAATTTGAAAATGCAACTGCATTATATGTTGCAAAGAAATATGTTGACCTATGTAAATTCTATTGTACACTGTTCTCTTTCAAAGTCACAATGCATGCTTAATTAGGTTTACTTGTGACAGAAATTGAAAACCTTAACTCTACCCATGGATTATATAGTGAGACATTACACATACTAATGAAATGTGGAAGCTGACTTTAGAAAAATAAAATATGTTAAGGCATTGAATTGACACTGGAGTAGGGCCAACTCTAATTGCTATTCAGTGACTAAGAAATAGGTGAGAAAAAAACAAGCTGAGAGTAAAATAGAACATTATTTTACCATGAAATATGTTAGAACCTGAGAGGAGAAAGTAGAAGATTTAGAAGCAAAACCTTTGTATCACAAAATTTCTGATTTTACTAGTACACATAATCCCATATAATAAAAGCCTAATATACAAATCGACCCAACAGTGGAATGACTGTGGAACGCAGGAGCTTCCCTCAGCCCAGAGGTTCCAGACCAGCCAAGGCGAGTGCCAGCAGGGCCCCTGATCACCCCGCTGGTTGCCCCACAGAGGAAGATGACTGGCGGCAGTGGCAGGGGGCAAGGCTGGCCAGCGGGCAGCACCAGGCTGGCCAAGGAGGGTGCCAGCTGGGACCCCCTGATCAAACCTCTGGTCACCCCACAGAATGGCCCTGATCCCCTGCCAGGCCTAGGGATCCTACAGTGCACAAATTTCATGCACCAGGCCTCTAGTTTTTATATATTTCATTATCTAATATCTTTTTTTTGGTTATCCATTTTCCCCATAGATGATGAAATTTGAAAGAAAATCCATCCAAAAAAAAAAAAAAGAAAGAAAGAAGTCTTCTAAACAGCCAAAATATTGCTATTAATAGGGCCAATAAATGCATCATATTTAATTATATTATAAATAAATATTATAAATAACTGCATATTTACTCATATTTATATAATTCTTAGATATTTTTAAAAGTTGACCACTTTTCAAAGGAAAATAATATATATATACAAGTACTATAAGAACTAGAAATTATAAATTAAAAGTCAATATTTTTCTAAAAATAATAATTGGGTTTATTGGTAAATTGATTTAAGATTGAATGTATATACAAATTTGACTGTATGGGTTAGAACTTTCAATATCTTGGCATTATCATCAAGTTTCATTCTATTTTGAAAATGTCACATTTTAAAAATGTAATGTTTTTAATCCTTAAGTTCATTTTTCATTTTTTTAAAATATATTTGTATTGATTTCAGAGAAGAAAGGAGAGGAGAAGAGATAGAAACATCAATGATGAGAGAGAATTATTGATCTGCTGCCTCCTGCACGCCCCCTACTGGGGATCAAGTCTGCAACTCAGGCCTGTGCCCTTGCCTGGAATTGAACCTGGGACCCTTCAGTCTGCAGGCTGATGCTCTATCCACTGAGCCAAACCGGCTAGGGCAAACCTAATGTTTAGATTCCTTTAAAGTTGATGGAAATTCTATCCATTGTACAACTGTGATATGTATACATGTTCTAAGTTACTTTTTCCCAGTGTGTTTTAAGTCTTTCCTGTACCAGATATTTTAATTTTCTGCTTTTATGAATATTCTAAAACTTGAGCCTATTTATTGCCTTTCAGTAATGCCTAACAGAACTTACTTTAAGCAGTCACATAAAACCCAAGCAAGAGTGGAGAGTACAAATTATACTTCTTAATGTTGTGAGGAAGTATCTATAAAGCTATTTATGATGGACTAAAATTATAGACCCAGATAACTAGGTCACTTCTATCTTTTACAAATGGGTAATTTTTTTTTAGCAATTCTTATTTAACCAAAGCACTGCTTCCTAAAAAGTTTGCCTAAAGACCCTAAATGAAATTTGTTAGCTGAGATCTGTGAATTGAAGGAAGAGATGGTTGCTCTATACTTTCAAAATATAATATTAACATTGTATGTATATAATATAAATAATACTAAAGGTACTTACATCAATCTCTTTTTCTAGACCTTCAAATATTATTTGTATCCTAAAAGTCATCATTATGAAACAAAATATATGTTTTACAACTGTATGCCAAATTATATCTCAGAATTCCTTAAACACTTATTCAAAATCAATTCCACAATAATTAAACAACATAAAATCACATTTAAAAGTTTCTACTTTAACTTTAAATCAATTATGTTATTAAATAAAATTTTGGTTTAAAAAGAGAACATCTATTTAAAACTCATATATTTTTATTTAATGAAATAACAAATGAATCATACCTGCAATGATAATCTTTCTCACAGTTTATATATGTTGCATTATTCTTGCAAGGAAATGAATCACATGGTGTTTGAAGTCTCTTACAAAGCTTGCCTGTCAATATTGGTGCACAGATGCATATGGTAACCTTGGGAACATTAAAAAGTATTTTTATTAAAGTTTTGAGATACTTCAAAGATGATGAAATGATGGACATTATTCTCATAAGCATGTAGTCGAAGTTTTCTTTACAACAATGTGGAGGATTTTACTTTCCAAAATGTCAAAACAATTCACATACTTCCTAACTATGTGAATTCAACACTCCTCTAATTGAGAATTGGGGACTTTATTTCTCCCACTTGAATGTAAGAAATTTCTGACTATACAAAAAGTGATGCTTTGGGGCTTTCAAAGACAAATTTAAAAGCTATACGGTGTCAATCTAATTATTTTGGAACCTAGTCCCCAAGCCATGCAGGTAGTTAAATAAGGTTCTGGCTGATGGCTCCAGATTAGGTCCCAGTTGACAGACCGCATAACAACCACACATGTGAGTAAAGAAACCTTTAAGATTTAAATATGAATTAAAATGAAAATATTACTAAAATAAGATAGTGAGTTGTGGGAACTATTAAATTTTTTATAATATTATTTATTTAAATGTTAAAATTAAAAGTTATAATTTAAAAATATCAAATAAGAAAAAAATTTAAAAACCAATAAATTAAAATTTAAAAGTTTACAAAATTACATTGTTTACAGGGGAGAATTTTGATGCAAGAGTGAAAATGAAACTAAATAGTGCTTTTGGAATTGGGGTTTCCATTTAAAACAGGAAAATTTAAATAAGAAACGTAGATATCTTGAACTTGAAAATGTATAATAATGAAAACTATAAGTTTTTTACTTTTGAAATAGTTTGGTAACTGTCAAAATGTTTTAAAACCACTCTTTTGTATGTTAGATTCAGACTTGCATTTGAAATATCATTGCAGTCGTAACCATTCTGACATGGTATTAATGAACACTTCTTGTCATCAATTTCACAGTCTTGATTGAGAAATCCTTCTGCACATTCACAAATGTAAGCAGAACTTTCATTTTGGCAAATTCCCCTTTTCTAACAATACCAAGAAACACAATGCCCCATTGACTCTTCACAGGATGGACCTGAAAGATCACACACAAAAATAAAATATGAACATAGATATGTAGCAAAACTTATGATAGAAAAAGTCTCTAGAGTTCATGGAACCTTTCCTTTACCAAAATTTTAGTAGTATAATTTATATATCATAGGATTAATCAATTTCAAATAAATAATTCAATAACTTTTGCAAATGTATTGAGCTCTTCAACCATCAGCACTTATCCAGTTTTAGCACATTTTCATGACCCAAAGATGAGCTCATTTATGATGATTCTTGGTTCCCAACTCCAGTCCTAGACACCATTAATCATACTGTCTCTATAGATTTGCATTTTCTGGGCATTACCTAAACAGAATGGTACAATATGTTGTTTTTTTGTGATTGGCTTCTTTTGCCTGTCATAAAAAAAATTGAGGATTTTTCATGTTGTATAATGTATCAGTAATGTTGGTTTTACTGCCAAAGAGCATTCACAATGTATTCAATATTTTGCTTACCCATTCATCAGTTAATGAAGATTTGGCTTGTTTTCACTTTGTAGTTTTTATTGAGATATAACTGATATTTAATATTATATGAGTTTCAGGTGTACAAGTTAATGATGTAAATATTGAGAAATGAGCATAAGTTCAGTTAATATTCATTATCATGCATAATAATTTTTTCTTGTGATGAGAACTTCAAGATTTACTTTTTATCAGCTAACTTTTATAAGTAATGCGTTCACACACAAATATTTGTGTGGGTATATATTTTAGATCTCTTGCACAGATTCCTAGTGCTAGAATTGCTGAGGTGTATGGTCAATTTTTGTATCACCTTTTAAGAAATTACCAGATTATTTTGCAAAGTGACTGTGCCATTTTAAATTCACACCAGCAATACATACAGTATCATATTTCTCTAGATTTTTGCTAACATTTGATATTGTCTATCTCCTTCTTTATAATAATTCTAGTGGGTGTGAAATAGTACTTCCTTATGGTTTCAATATCCATTTCAATAAGACTAACAATTCTGAGTATCTTCTCATATGTTCATGATACATTTGTACATCCTCTTTAATAAAATGTCTGTTCAAATGTTACACTATTTTAAATTGTGTTGTTTGTCTTTTTATGTATTTATTTATATTGACTAGTGAGTATTTCTTGTATAATCTGAATATAATTCCATCTGATTTATGTGAACTGAAAATATTTTCTTCTTGCCGTGCTTTGCCTTGCTTTTTCTAGTCATTTTCTCAGTTGGTGACTTTTGGATAGAAAGTTTTCATTTAATTCCAAATTACCAATGGACTTCATTTTATTAAGTTCACTTGGTAACATTTTTTTTTCACATAGCTTTATCATGCTTTTGGTGTATATCAAAGCTTTGACAAACAATGGTCATAAAGATTTTCTTTTATATTTTATTAGAAATTTTATCATTTAAGCTCTTATTTATATCTCTGATGTGTTTGAGTTAATCTGGTATAGTATGAGATAAGGATACGTTATTTGCTATGCACATATATGTGAATGCTTGAAATTACATATATAAATTTCTTTACATATTGGTATAAATTGTCCTAACAAAATGTTTTGAAAATACTTTTTCATCCATTTAATTTCCTCTTTCACTATTGTGAAAATCAACTGACCAACCTATCCTATATACCTATCCATATGCAGTAATACATTGTCTGGATAAATGGAACTTGTTATTACATTTTAGGTTGGGAAGCCATCTACCTATTTTCCTTTTTTCTTTGCTGTTCCATATAAAGTCTTGTATGCATTTGTGAATTTCTATGCAAAAGCCAGCAG